TAGGTGGCCGGGCTAAAGGTTGTAAGATACGGTGAAACTCGAACGGTTCGGGGGAAAAAACGTATACGATTTTCACGGGAAACGATAAAGGGACGATAAGTCGGCCTCCGGAGAAGGAAAGACAATGAAATCACGTTCCTCGAGAGATTGGAAATAAAAATAGTCGAAAATTGATAGATCGTTCGGGGGAGCGTAAGACTAATCGTAATCGACTCTCAGTTTTATTTCTGACGTTATTTTGCATCGTCGGTACGAAACATGATTTATTAAACGTCTCGGTAGATGAGAGAACCGGCGAGATCATCTCTAATGCGATGAATCAGAGAAAATTCAGTCGCCACTCAATGAACCGATCGATGTATCGAACGGAGAGGAGAACCGACGCCGGGGCATCAGTCGTCCGTGAAAAACGGTAGCACAAAAGCCCGCGCGGTTCATCTCTGGGAAGAAGAAAGCGCAATCTTTGGTGAAACACAATTGGCCGGCGATCTCTGGAACAATAAAACCGGACAAAACGTCGACCGGCTTTTCCAACCGGTTGTTCGACGCCGGCGTAGCCAGCTTCTCATTTCTGTACGCGGAGATAAAAATCTGGTCCAGTTTTTCATAGCCGCGGCTCAATGAACGCGTTAAAAGTCGAAAAAAGGTTACCTCAAATTGGAACAGAAAAACTTCGCCGGACATTTGTTATCCCTATCGCCGCTGATTAATATATGGCCTGAGATAAAACCGTTAAAAGTATCAATCTTTCAGATAACTCGGTTAAACTGTGAACGCTTAGTTCTTGACTAGTTTTCGGGGAAAAGGCTTTCATTTATAGCGGGGAATGATTTAAGGTATTCACTGTGAAAAATTCTTTCCAGGCTCTGCTTTTATACACGGCGAGTCTTGACGATTTCGAATAACTCGTAAGATATTTATTGTACGATAAAAATGTTTAAATACGTGTGGGATAGAGGGCGTTCATTTAGTTTATCGTTCATATCATTAGATTTACCTATTAACAAATTGTTCATGTTAGTCTCCTAGAGAAAATGTTGTTTATTATAAAAAAGAGAATCGTTGTCGTGAAACGTTGAGAGTCGTCGAATGTCGAGTCCAGTAATGAAATGTACTGCGGTGAGTCGAGTCGTAATCGTGTCGTTAGCGTCGAAATATAATATCGCGTCGGAATACATTTAAAGTGCAAGAATACGAATTATCGAAACATTACAACACTTAAAATTAGTATTTATAATAGTTACGGTTAGTTACGGTTAATATCTATTTCAATTGTATACCCGTTCCCAAATAAAATCCCACATACGTTAATTAAATATGTTGTCTGGTTCACATGTGGACATGCAGTGATCTATTTTTTGTTTCTTCGCTTTTTTATCAATACACTAGCGTCTATGCCCGTTATATGTACTTTCGGAAAAGCTCTAATTCATTAAGAAGTCCGATGTAAGGGAAATTCTTGCAAGCCTCGAAAAGAGCATTTACGTTCCTATGTCCGCAGAGGAGCGGATACGTGGCACGCGGACTTATCTGCTCGTATACAGAGATCGAAAACATGGTGTGTGTACCTACGCCCGGTGAATCATTCCTGCTATTGTCCGAGGGGGAGGTTGCAGGAAAAAGAAGAAGACGGGGTGAAAAGATAGGCGAAGCAAGAACACGCGTGCAGAGAGACTCGGTCGCCGTGTCCCGCGCCGCCGTTAGCTGAGAGTCTAGTCGGGTGAACACGGCGAAGATAAAGAAACACGGTTGCGAATCACGCCGCGGTGGCGCCTAATGGGCGGCAACAAAAAGGGACACGGTGTGGTCACCCACACCGCACCGGCATCGGGATATTCCCCTACGCAGGAGACGCGGTTTCCTCCACCACGACGGGAACGCGGCGACGCCGCTCTCTCCCACTAGATCAACGTCGGCGGACCTCGGATCCGCTCGGTGATCTCCGCGTTATTGCTGGACCCGTCACGACGGAGATCGCCCAGTGCCGTATCCACGAACATAATTTCAAACGATGAAAATACTCCGGAAAACGATATCCAAAGTATAGATAATAAGTTAAGTGGGACAAATCCCTGAGGGAAGATAACACGATCGATTCTACGGACTGGGTTAACGTGGACCGAAATTGGAGACTGTTGGGAAATATTGAAAACGCAATTAGAGGAATTCTTGCAACTCCAACTGGTCGAACTCAGCTGGTGAAATACCAAGAAATTCAACACCTCGAGAACGAGACCTTAGGGAGAGAGGGTCGTCAGCTATTGGCTCTAATTGCCCAGTACTCGTTGAATGAAACTGGTCCGGCTACGCTTTGGTACATAAGTTTGACTTGGAACGATCACGGCTCGACGCTTCTCGTTTAGCGCGTTCTGAAAGTTCATACGTGCGACCCAACAGTTTTGATACGACAAACGCGGTTTAATAGAGAAAAAACGAATTGGAGAAGTTCATTGAGAGGATCGTTCGGTCGCGCGACACGTTTCTGTTTATTCCCTCGAACGCGAAACGACTGAAATAGACGTATGACCGTCTCGCAAATTAATTCCGCGGACAATTCTCTCCTCGTACGTGAATCAACGTTTATACTCGTCGGAGGAGATTCGGTGTCGCCCGGCTTCGACCAACGTGACGCTAAACGATCGCCCGTACTTGTAATCCGATACGCGCAGGTTTGAACGCGTGATAGATGACTTTTCGAAATAATAGTCGCGCGTGCACATTCCGCGCGTACTTGAACGCTTACTGAATTTAAATATTACGTGACCGATCGGACTTCCGGATTCGATCGGATCGGTTTTGCAAATCAATTGTCTTATGAAAGCGATCGCGTTCTGAGTCTAAGTTTAAGCGTTCGTAGACGTGCGGGTAAACCGGCTTTAAATAATCGTCGGATGGCCGTCGGTTAAACGGCGCGGCGTGCCTCCCGTCTCTTTCGGACATTGTTTCGAAGCGGTCCTTCCCTTTCATTCAGTAATTCGCAGCCAGCTGCACACTAATAATAGTATCGGACACTGCCGCCACTGCTTGCCGTCTCTGCTTTCGTCGAAACCGTACGTGCATTAGCCGTCAATACCGACGAGAAGCCTACCTTAGTACTCTCACTCCTTTCCCACGACAATCGTTTTTAATCGAACCAGACGAGTTTACAAGGTTCTATTGTCTCCATTTAATTATCCCCTCTGATCAAACGTGATGAGGTAAACGTCTCAATTTCTACTCACTGGTCTATTTTCTATAACTCATATAACAAACGTATATAAAATAAATACAACGAAAATTATATTTNGCCCAAAAGCAGTCAAAATGACTTCCTTGGGCAATCTAGTGTTAATCATCGTGACTCGTGAAGGATTCGAGGATTGTTTCTCTATTCTCACGAGAAAGGAGATTCGCGAGCGGAAAGTTTCCGTCGACACCGATTCACTGTCATAGATAGATGCATCGGGAATAAGAGCTTCTTGTCTACTTGGGACGTATTACATACCACCTCGCGGGTTGGCGGTGAAAAGTCAAGGAAATCGACCAAGATAACCGCACGCGCTACCGTACGTTATCTCGTTTCCCCTCGTTTCGAGGTATACGAATCGCGCGGTTGCAAAACACCTCGTGATGTTTATAAATATGCGCTACGCAAAATTCAGCAGCCGTTTGACAGATTCCAAACTCGTGTCCGATCGATTCCAAATCCATTCGCTCCAACGTATATCTACAGGTGAAGCAAAAGATCCCGGAGGGAATAATACGATCTCTAGAAATTGTAGATCGACGTTAGATCGTCGTAACCCCGTTTGAGTATCGCGGATCGTAAACACGTGGAAAGGAAATTCAGCACGCATGGAGTATATATCGGCGCGGCAAGCATCCTTCCTTTCGGCAGATAAATCACGAGTCCGTGAGCCAATGAGCCGAAAGATACCGAGCTTCCGGTGAACGGGCGATAAGAAACTCCGTCGCGATCTATAAACCAGCGTTAATGAAAACAACACGACATGGAGCCTGTTCTAGCAACCCTGTTTCGTGCAATTGAAGCTTGGCGGATCGATGGTAACGCGGGGCTCTCTGACCGGTCGGATACGGTCCTGACCTTGATTGCGGCCAACGCACACGCCGAGATGCGACGACGCAGGTAGGGGGATGTGGCGACGACACGAATATATACTACGCACGAGTCGCTCGAGGATAACATCTCGCGGCCCAGGGAAGAAGGCCAGGGTAGACAGATCTGCGCGCGATGTGGAGAACCGGAGAAAGAGAGGAGAACGGAACGGATACGTAACGTCGCGGAGAGAAGAGATACGCGCGATAGGTGGGAGAGCGAAAGGGGGTAAGTTTGTCGGACGTCGTCGGGGAAAAGTGGGGTTCCAGCGTGTACCACGGATAGAGGGGAGGACAGAGAAGAACGGTCGGAACTGTTCGGAACGCGGGAGGACAGTGGAGGGAAACGGATCAGAAGGGGGAGCCCGGGTAGTGGGGGCGGTCGGACGAGGCGAGATAGATAGACGAGAGAGAGGAAGCATGGGGGCGGTGGCTGGTCTGCTACGGCCGCCATCACCATCCGTCCCATCCTATAGTAAACTCCGAAGCAGCAGTCCCCAATCTGTCTCCATGTGTGTTAGTTAGGACCGTGTTTTACCGGTGCTTGCTACTCCAAGCTGGTAGTAACACCGACACTTCTGCCTTGCCCGCTAAGTATCTGCGATGCCCTAGCATCGGCTCTCCCGATCTCTCACCGTCTTTCACACTTTTTCCCCTCGTTCCTTTCTTCTCTCTTATTCCTGCTAGTAGATTCTTTCCCTCCTGAAAGTGTGCGCGGCCTCTGTGTCTTCGGTCCTCTGTGCGTGCGAAAACCGCGAATGAAAATAATCGGTGGAAAAGGAGCGGACGGCGAAGGAGGCGACGGAAGAAGAGCAGCGTGTCTCTGTCCGCGCGACGACCAGTCGTTTCTAAGGATATAACCGGAGCCCGGCCGTCTTCCGACTCGTTGGTTTCGTTCGCCGGAAAGTGTCTATAGTGGGAAAAATCGCTGGAGCAGCCCGTGGATTCATTCGGTACACGCGTGACCCGAGGAACGCCGCAAGCGCGGAACGTACGATTCTTTGTCTGACACGGACGAAATCGAACGTGCACATGATAAGTACCTTAGAAGAAAGTCCTCCGAGATTCTCGTGAGCGTCGGTCTGCTGCGTACGACGAAGATCGAACAACGGAGTCCGCGTCCCACCCAATCGGTCCTCTCGAATCATCGCGGCCGACACTTATCATCGGGCAAGGGGGAACGAAGGAACGGACGAACTAGCCGTGGACCTCGGCGCTGCCGTCCGCTGGAATTTCTCCTGTCGTCGTCTGCACGCAACCCTTCTCTCTTTCCCTCACCCGTGGGCCCTCTCTTTCTCTGATCGCACCGCCTCTCCCTCTCTGTCCCTGTTATCGTGGCATCGTCACCGCTCCTTCTCTGCCCACCAGCGCTCCCGTGTCCGCCTATATTTCGCATCATCCGAATAGAAGAAACGTGATCAACATTCCCGTGTTTCGTTGAACTCGTTGTGTGCGCGCGCGAGTGACACGTTTGGCTGGCTTTTTAATGACCGCGGCAAGTGCTGACCGTCCTCTCGGCTGCTGCGCTCCGTTGGATCGTTGGTCGACGCGTGGATATCCGGAGTGGAGAGACGCGGCTCGATCCCGGCCCTACGGATCGTATACGTGATCTAGAAGAAGCGACGATGTGCAGCCGTGCCGTTGGAACGTTGCTGGACGCGAAATAACCGAGTCAACCGTCCCGACGCGTTGCCAATTATTATCGTTATTATTATTATTATCGTTCTTCGTTGGCCGGATCAAACCGTCGCCTCGTGCAAGCACACACGGCGCGTATCTCTATGCTCCCCGTGGCGGGAAGAGCAGCCGTTTATCGTCGCTCCGTGCCGTGTTTATCGGACGACGCGCGACAACGGGAGGAGCGATAGTAGTGCAACCATGCGTCGCTGTACCTTGAAACGTCACAGATCACGCTGGACGAACTCTTGAGCGAGGAGATCACGAGACGCGCCGCGAACCATTCAACCTGGCGGAATCGTCGAACACACGCAAGACGTACCACGGGGAGCACTGGCTCGCGCTCACGCGAATATGAGCATGACTCTCGTCCGGAATACGTTCAAAGGTAAGATCAAATTCGTTTCTCGCGGCAGCACGTAAAATACTGCGCAGACGCTATTGCGGACGTTGTCAGTTAGGTTTAATGAAATTTTCTCGAAGCCTCGTTATCGTCGTCGGTGAACTAGCGGATGATGCACGAGGCCGAGTTTGCATAAGTCGACTATATGTAAACAGATTTGGTTCCGCTTCGATTACGTTCGTACTGATCGACTAGTTTCGTGATAGGAGAAGCGTTAAACGTTGCACTTTGACCGCGCGATTACGCTCGGATGCATAGTGTAGGAGACCGCGACCGGGACACGTGTAAGTGCCCGCCGATGACGTTCGCGTTAGATATTCTACTCTATCGATTCTCCGTCAAAGGCAGATGCTTAGGTCTACGAATATTCATAATGGCGAAAACATTTTCTACACGTGATTTCTGCGTGCGATACGTAAATACGGTTGTTTATACCCGCGCGTGTTTAGTCGAACGCCACACGCATGCGTTCCGTTTTCTACGAAATGTGCACCGGTTTTCGGGCCTTCGTGGTTCTGCAATTCCAATTACACGAACGCCCGTGTTAATTGAATTCATACAAACGTTCTACTCTCCGTTCTATTATTTCGTTCCATCGGTTTGTTAACAACGCATTTGCTGGAGCATTAATAAAAGTAATACGTAATTGGAATTATAGTGACGATCTCAGAATAGAATTTAATCCACGTTCCAGTGAGCGAATATCGTGAATAAAAATTGTACGCTTGATTTAAAGATCGGAGTTCGCGGAATTTCGACGCGCCGCCGGAACGCGCAACCCTAAACCCGACGTCGAAGAGTATTTTCTACTTGCGAACATCTTTTTATCGTCGTTTCGCAACTCCGCGTTGATTCGTGGGCATTTTTTATCGCTACGCGAACCGACGGTAACCTGGCGTCATCGAGACGATGCGACGGCCTCTCCGTGATTCACGGCCTGAACTTTAGACCCAACGACGACGACGACTCGTCGATTTCGTGGCGCGGATGTGCGAAATGAATTCAGATGGTGGCACTTGCCGAGCTTATGAGTCGCTTTCCTACGTTTTTCCATCCTCCTTCGGGGAAAACCTCGGCTTCGGAAATGCTTGACTCTTACCCTCACGTTTTCACGGTATGGGGCGGTCGTAAACGAAACAAAGTTTCGGGCCGCCGGTTAAAAGTTCCACGTGCGTCGCCAGAGACTGCTGTCGAGCACCTGGAAGCTGGCTATTTCTGTAACAAAAACGGCGGAAGTTTCGTAAGGATGAAATTTCGTTTAAACAACCATTATATCGACGTTAAAATATTCAGTGTGACAGAATCGTCGATTTTCGACTTGCACCGAACGAACTTTACTTTTCACTTCGTCAGGGCTCGTGATCTGTTTACAAAAGTAAATCTAAACTGAAGTACTTGAACGATCATCGAGAAACTGCTTAGTGCAAACAGTTTAAATCACACGTTGACGCATTACAAAATGCCTGAAGCATTTATTCCCGAAACAAAGAGCGGTGACTGTCTTCCAGGCGTATCTCTTACGCTTCAAGTAGATTGCTTCCGTACCTGATCAGCCCGAGCTACTAGCGCGCTTGAATCTTCTCCTCTTTTGATCATTTAAATTTAGATAGATTCTTTCCCTTCGTTTAATACCCGCATTTTCAAGTACGGAAATACTTAAACATTGCTTTTGAAGTACGTAAACGTTTCAAACAAGGATCCCTCGGTTCGAGAAAAAGTTCTCATGGCGCTCTGCCAGTCATTCAGAAGATAGAAACGTAGCTTCTTCCACGGCAGCCAATTTACACGAGTTTACAAACGATACCGGTAATCAGATCGAGCCTGTTCCACCAGAAACGTAACCCGACACTGTGCAACCTCGGGATCAGCTGCGCGCCACCGTTCCTTCTCGAATCACCGTGTCTGATACAAGATTAGGGAATAGAACAACAACGTTTGTGAACACTTGGAGAAACCATTTACCGATTGCACAGAATTAATTCTGGAGCAAACGAAACTTCTATCTCGGCGCATTTATTAAAAATATTTACATTAGTTTGGATTCTCAAGATTTCAACATGAGTCAGGTATAAAAAAACGATAGAGGCTAACGTATTTTCTAAAAGTACTGTCGTTTTATGTAGCGTGTTGTCCTTAGAACGGTTACAGAAAGAATGACCTGAAGAGGTACTCTTCAACCTTAGGTCCCGCTTCTCCCCACCGTTTATGGCATCTCCTTTTTACGTTTTCCTTCGTCAGGCACGTACTGACGAAACCCACATGGCCGTTCGAGTTTCTCCACCTCCGAATTTTCTTACATAATGCGACAAAGTCACGATCGTTACACAATTGTAGTGAACTCCTTTAATGGAGCAGCAAAATTAAATAATACATTCGGAATGTTCGACCACGAAAATAAACATTAGATTCTTGAGACTGTTCCGCGGTCGGATCCTTTTGTCTCGTGGCAACGGGCACGAAGAGTACATTGTTCTTGTCGACAGATAAACCGTTGTTCCCGGTATTCCGCGATGAATGACGCTACTGTATCGGCAGCGGCGCGCGTCGTACGCAGTTAAAGTAAAGTCATCCGGCCGCATGTTCCTCGGCCTTTTCTCTCTCCGGTTCCGTTTATCTCTCTTGTCCCGCCGGTTATCGCGGTATCTCCGCTCATTTTATTTCTTCAAAACACGCAGGAATAATAATTGAGTTGCAAACGTGAACCCTTCGAGAATGTCTACCAATCCACGTTCTAAGACTATAGAAAATAAACATGAACCGAGCCCCGGTTATGAACTTCGATTTCTAGAACAGACGTTCAATAAGTAGCCTAGCTATGATTGATAACGCACGTCGTAATACGAACGTTGTAACGTTAAACCTTGATAAAGTGTTCAAAGTAAAATTACAATTGAACAGGCATTAGTCAGCTACAATATTAACGCGAAGGTGATCCGGTTTCATTACGATCACGTGTTCCAAATTTTGCATTAAGTACACGAAATTCACGGCGCGTACAAATATCTTTAAGCGGCGCACACGCTTAGGTACACGCAGGGTCGCTGGTGCATTTGCAAACTTCTCAAACACGACACACACGACAAAAGAGTAATTAACTCTATTCGGTGGCACGAGGTCGGCCAGGCCGGGGCCCCCGTGCCTCTATTTACTCGCTCGTTTCATTGTACTTCTCGTACCTTCACGCATTCCGCATCTCGAGCGCTTTAAATTAACCTTCATTTAGTTTTCTTACTTCCCACCGAATTAACCGTGACAGACCCGAGCTGCGATCTCAATGGACGATGTAAAATAACGCAGTGAAATGAGTAACGCTGCTGGTTAAAAGATTGATAAACGTGGCTCAGTCGAATTCTTAAATTAAGAAATAAAATAAAATAATAATAATAATATATATAGAATAATAAAAGAAAATTTTTCATCATATTATATTAATTTCATCTTATATTAATATCATATTATACGTATGTCGATTTTTATTACATTATTGAGAAAGTAAATACTAAATATGTTGTTTTGTAATTGAATCCTCTTTATGAGGAACTTGAATCTCGAGAAATTATTAATACATTATATGCTTGATTTCGTGGAAGCTACGTAACCGAGTGGCGTCGAATTCGTTGACGATATTACAATGTAAAACGATAATACAACGATGATGCAATTATAGCACTGTTTTGATAGCGAGGTGGCACAATAGTTTCACCCACATACCATTTCCGTACGCAGCTTCCAAAGCTTCCTCCCTTGACTCTTAAAACAGTAGTGGTTAATAATCGTCATTTTTATTGACGTAAGTTATATTAGTTTGCGTAACGCAGTGGCCGGCGTTGTGTAAAAATGTTTCCAACCGAATAATCGCGTCGTCGTAATTGCAGCCAATAAACCATTGTTTCTTGGCAAAGAGGTTCGACCGGTGAATCATCCGTGACCCGAATCGCTCGATTTCGAACGATTTCCTCCTCTTGGTTGTTACATTTATTATCCTGCGACTAAGCGAGGATATCGATAGATTCGCAGTAGTTGATTCACCGGCGATCAATTCCCTTCGATGAACAATCGTCGATTAAAGAAAAGGATCGTAATGCATTTTTATCGACTGTTCTTTATCTTAGTTTTTTGTTCTACTCTTTAATCGAAGCCATTTATTATTATATTTCTCTTGAAACAAATCGTTTTCACTTCTTGTGAGTTGATAAAATTCGAATAAGTTTATAATTCTCCTTTCATTTCGTTATTCGAATTAATTCATTCTTGCATTCTAATAAAACTGCATTTTTATGTATGAATATATTAAATGACCCAATTTCTACTCACTTTTCTCTAATTATGTGTAATCATAAACCAGTGAGTAGAAATGATAGAAATTAGGATATTTACTATGTATAAAAAGAGATTAGTTAAAATCGATGAAAGTTTATGTAACGTTTGCTGAAATTTTAACTGAGATTATTGATAATGCAATCTATAAACGATACGTATTTAGTGTCGTTTTAAAATAGTCATAACACAATTGATTATCTTCGGTGTTTTAATTATCAGAGCTTATTAAATTAATGCAACAATAAATTCATTAAATATTCTTATAATTAATTCACTATTTATCTTTTCTGTTTGATTCTGTGAAACCGAGTTTTTGAACGTTTCTCTCGAATTAATCGACGAGCTTGTTGCGATCGATTGATTGGTCGACATTTAGCCTGAGCCAATTGATGCGCGCGTCCCATTGATTGCCGGCTGCTGTACATATAACACCGTGGAATAACTGTGCCATTTGAAACACAATCACAAACGTAGCCGGGGAATCCATCGCCGTCCTTTCTCCACCCTCTCTTTTGCAACATCGTTTGGTAACTGCCATTTAGTACAGCCATGTTTTATGCTTTATTGGCTGCTGTTTCTCGTTCACCTGATTGACGACGTCTCCGTTTAAAACGTACGAAGCATCAAATGCCAAGACTCGTTCGTCCTTTCACGAGTTGCCCAAA